ATAATCAAAAGTTTTTGTGAGAAGTAAAATAATTTAATTATTATTTGAAGAAATAGCATATAATTTGAGGAGAGAAAAGAGAGAAAACCAGAAAAAGATGAGGAAGAGATAATTTCATTATTGAATGAAAAAGTTACGAATGAGAAGGATGAGAAAGAACGGAAAAGGAAGAAGAGAAAAAAGAAACGTCCAAATGAGGCAACTGATGATATTAAGGCAGATAAAAAGAGCCGACAACGGCTAAAGATGAAGAAACGTCGATCATACAGGCATATGGATTCCGAAAATGAAACGGATAATGAAGATGATATTGAATTAGGTGAGGAAGCGATGAATGTTTCAATGCCTATAACCGAATCATCATCACAACCACTTTCACCTTCACAAGTGGCGGAAAATACGAAAACAGCGCTATGTGCGCCATCAATGGTAATCAATCAGTTTTTGTCAGCGTTATGAAAAAATTTATTGCGATGATGCGTAATATAAAAAGATAATGAAATATTGATTGTATTTTCATTGGTGGTACTTCCCGATAATACTTATGTTGAAAATTTGAGATTTTCTTACGATATATTTTCATGAATGTTTCGAAATGGGAAATTCTAATAATTGTATTTGCATCATTGAAAACATTCAGGAATCAATGTTGCCAGAAGATGTTGATAACATTGACAATGAAAAGCCACCGATCAATTATTCAGCTATGTATGGTGGCGCATCAGAATCGAAATATACCGATATGGTGGAATTGTCTGTTGAATTACGATATTGGATTGTGCTTGCTTTATTCATATGTTTACTCATGATTTATCGTAGTTTCTTGCCACCTCTCCAATGTGACACCAAATTTCAATAATAATAAATCGTTGCAAATTATCATTAATTATTTTATTATGTGACAGCAATTTTCGCTATTTCAATAGCATATCAATAAATTTTTCATTTTTCATTTTCATAGCAAATATGCCATATCACGAGAATGTTCACCAAATATCTTAATGATTCTTACAAGGTATTTTCTACGACTTATTAATTAGAAATTTGTACAGGTAATACAGGATGAAGGAAATCGATAAGGACAGCGTAGATGTCAAAATTAAATTAAATTGCGGGATGTGTATAAGTTTGATTTACATAAAGCGCATATTTTAAAGGTGAATTGTGTACGAAAGAGAGAACTGAAAAGGTNTTTGGATAGGTCTAAGTAGGTTAAGACATTTTTTCCTTTGGACAAGAGCTAATGTTCAGTCATGTTGAAGATTAATTTTGTGTATTTGTGTATATAAAGCACTTATCATCGCAAAAAGATCATTTTCAATGTTGCGTACTGAATATTCGAATGTTTTTATTGGCTGGAAATGTTTACCATTAGAACAATAAATACTATCATAGTTTACATCTGAAAGGTAATCTGAAGGAACTTAAATGGAAAAGTGGCTGAAATATTTTGTTCTGATAGAAAGCAAACGGATAAGAGAGCTTGGAAAAGTGGCTGAAGTGAGCTCAACAAGGATTTCTTGTAAACCAATTCAAAACAAATTCTATTCAATAATTATTATTCATATAATAGAAAAACTTCTTATGGATATTATTTCCGTTGCGCTGATTCATTTTATGGCTAAAAGCCTTTTCCGATATTTTTAAATCTTAACTTACTTTTTCCCTTCAAAAATATTTATTTATTAAAGAAAGGGCCAATTTATAAATTAATAAAAATTGAAATTAATTTCACCCACGCTGAAATACAAATACAATGAAAAAGGCTTTAAATTTTACTGAGATTATCTTCCATTTTGGCTACTAAAAATTTTTGTGAACAAAATTTCAAACATTGAAAATAATTTTGAATCGAAAGAGAAGCGATAGTTTGAAAAGATAGACAGTTTGAAAGTTAATAGCCATCGTAGGATTCTTTAGTTTGAAACAATAGTTAATTGATACATGAAATTAGTCTGTTTTAATTTTCGTTATTCATTAATTTATCATTATAGAATAATAAAAGAGAATTTCATTAAGCATTCTTTACAATGTCAATACTACTTCATGATATTTATCTGCTGGTTCTTACGGATAAACATTATAAAAGTAATAATTGATTACTTCCGCCTTCTGTTCTATTAAAGAACACTATTACTTACCATATCTATTCATACTATCAGAAAGTGATACAGTAGTTCATTTAATAAGCCTTAATATTCATTTAATAAATCTTAATACCTTAAATATTACGGTATGCAATTCAATTTTCATTACTGACAGCTTTTATTAAAGAAATATTTATAAAGATATTAGTAAAAAAAAAACTTTCATTTTATATTTCAAATTTGAAAATTTTTAAAATATTGTTGATAAAATTCCATTTCATAATATATACATTTCATTTTACAGTATAATAAATA